GTCGAGATCCTACCCCAAGCTGCAATCCAAACAAAAAAGGCCACCCTAAGAGGAGCCATCGAATGCTAAACCGTTTTTCATGAAAAATTGGAACCATGAAACCCTGAGAGGCGGAGAAAAAAGGAACGGACCTGAAAAGTCCCATGGGAAGAAGGCACCCAAGTCAAGAAATCCGAACCAGTACCATCCACCTCCTGTCTATACAAAAGGTCCAGCAAGCCATTGACGTCGTCCAACTCCCAATCCTGAAAGGATCGCCGGAACCGCACATCCCAAGACAACCTACCGCTATCGAGTTGATAACAGTCAGTTACCAAAGCATGTACATCAACAGCAATCTTGAACAACCTTGGGAACAAACAAGACAATGGACGATCCTCCCACCAAGTATCCTCCTAAAACCGGACGTCCCTTCCTTCTTGAACTCTGAACCTCATATGCTTAGAGAACTCATCCCATCCCTTCCTAATGGATTTCCACACCCCCACGCCGACAGCAGATCTGACCAGCCTAGATGACCATCCCCCTCTATCCTCCCCAAAACGATATGAAACAACCTTCCTCCATAACCTATGTCTTTCGCTACCGAATCTCCAAAACCACTTGCCTAGGAGCGCTCTGTTAAAATGGCCAATCTCCTATTCCCAAGACTGCCCAACTTAAAGGGACTGCAGACCTGCTCCCACCGGACAAGATGAAATTTAAACTCCTCCCCCCGTGCGCCCCAGAGGAAGTTCCGTTGAAGCATCTCAAGTCTTCCAACAATAGAGGAGGGGATTTGGAAAAGCAAAAGAAAATAAGTTGGAAGACTTAACATTGTACTCTTCACCAAAGTAACTTTCCCTCCCTTTGAAAGATATTGCTTTTTCCACATAGCCAACCTTCTCTCGAAATGCTCTATCACCGGGTCCCAACTTCCCACCCTCCTTGACGAATCACCCAACAAGCAAGCCCAAGTAAGAAATATATTTTGATAATGATATGGGTGACGGAAGATGAGAATGTAACTTTAGAACTTTTAAACTTGAATTATATTTTGATAATGATATCAGAGCATAGTTCTTTGTTTATCCAACTCTTGGTTGTCTTTTTTTTACCATATTTTTCTTCTTCCCTCCCTCTCTTCCACCCGTGTCAAAAAAGAAGAAACAGTCTAGTTACATTTTAATTTTCAGCAATAAATCATTTTAAAGAATAATTGTAAAATAATTCTTCTAATATAATGCACAACCGGATCCCACACATGCGATTGCTTGCTAGACTGCTAGTAAAAGGAAACCAGCACAGGTGATTTTTCTATATTGTGTGGGAAGATGCTTACGCACAATCTTGTATTTATATGTAAGAGCAAATACATATAGAGATGTGCCAAGGATAGTGTCATCAAACTCAGTTATGAGTCATAATTTGGAATTTTAGGAGAGGGCAGACTGAGGCTTGAACAGTGGTGTTCTGGTCAAAATTTCTAGCTATTATCATAATTATGCTGCTGATATAAAAATTGAAGGAGAAGATTAAAAGACCTAATTTAGTTTTTTATTTACTGTCAAAGGTTAGGTATGTATCTAGTCTATTCCTTCCAGAATCATCGATTAACCTAGCCTTTGGTTACAGGGATCACACTTGGTAAGGACCCTTCTGAATTTTTTTGCTTGTGGTGTTTAGTTCTTATCCCCTTCCTTTTCCTGTTTACAAAGTTGTACCAAAAGGAAGCAATTGTGATTTTTGTTCTAATTATTTCAAAATTTGTCATCAATGTGAGGTCTACCTGGTAGTTGGTAACTCTATCTTCAATGCGTTCAGTGAGTAATATGTGGTAGGATTGAGTTCTATTGTTCTTATATTTTTATTTCAAAATTTCAAATTTTCAAAATATGTGAGCAATTGTGATTTTTGTTCTAATTATTTCAAAATTTCTTTTATTTTTCCTTTATTGGATTGGAATTGGTCTTTTTTGGTTCTTGTTGTGGAAGGTACTTTTTGGTTCTATCTGTACTGGCACTTGATGTTAATCCAAATACCATTTTGGCACTTGATTTTTTACTCAAGTAAAGAGGCCCTTTGTTTTGGTAAGGGGGGAACCCTAGCTCATAAAGATGACGTTCTCTTTGTACAAAACAAACTCATTAAACACCATCAATACTCCTAATAGTTTTTCGTTTTTCGCATTGCCACTTGATTTTTTACTCAAGTAAAGAGGCCCTTTGTTTTGGTAAGGGGGGAACCCTAGCTCATAAAGATGACATTCTCTTTGTACAAAACAAACTCATTAAACACCTTCAACACTCCTAACAGTTTTTCGTTTTTTTGTATCCCATTGTTCCATCGCTTCGTTCGGCAAGCAAAAGATTGAAAGCAGGAATGGCGGTACAACCTTTTTCGCGCATCCTTATTTCTATTTTTCATGCAAGCTTTATTGGGAAGCGTGAAATGTGCTGCTGAGCCGATAAAGGGCAATTAGTAAGGCTTACGGAAGCAATAAAAGAACATACGATAAAGCAATCAAACGCATAACACAAGATATACATGGATCAACCTAAATTTGGTTTACCTCCTTGAATGAGGAGATATTTCACTATAATCATGTTGAGTTATTACAACGGAAGAGAATTCTGAACATTGGATCGTGTACACAAACTCTTACCTTAGAGTTCGTCTTTGTGTACTTTTGCTCTAGGGTATTGAGGCAGGCAGATACTTGAGCCTTGCACCCTGTACCACTTCACGAGACTCCCTCTCGTCATTAGTGCTTTCTTTACCAAACCTATAAACACTCCCTCTACCTATCAACCATTGGCTACATCTGTCTCAACTCATAACTCTCAACAATAACCTAGGTATCTATTTATACCAATTTCTTGTTGCACATGGATTATAGTTTCATAGGGCCAAGACTTTCCTTAAAAAAAATTCCTTAGAGGCGAAGACTTGCCTTACAAGAAATTACCATATAAAATAACTCTATAATGGAATCCTAATAATTGATAGAATTTGAGGAACAAATCCTATCAATCTCCACCCTGACTCAAATTCCATCCAATCAATCATCACTTCCCTCGGCAATTGAATCTGACAACACGTGACTTCAATCTGGCAAACGTGTGATTGCCTCGTTGTATACTTCTCCATCTGTCAAATCTCTGGGGCTGACTCGAGCTCCGTGCCACCCATCATGATTTCATCGTTTTATTAATGGATGCTTCCCCTTCGATCGAACCCTTCTAGCCTTGCTTCAATAGATACTTGCTAGTTCTACGATCAATCGATGCTAGTTTTTCAATCGATCAATGCTTCGACTGAACCAGCACTTCTCTTTACATGCTCCTTTTGCAGGCTCAAGAGTGAACGTTCACTTTTGCGGGTTGAGAGAAAACCCACTCTTTTCAGGTCTGAGAGCGAACCTTCTCTTTTGAGGGCTGAGAGAGATCCCACTCTTTTAGGACTGAGAGCGAACCTTCTCTTTTGCGGGCTGAGAGAGATTCTCCCACTCTTTTCAAGGCTGAGAGTGAACCTTACGGCCCATTGTGACCAAACAATCCGATTGATTGACCCCACCTGCAACTGAACTCCGTTGCAACACCTATTGAGACTCCTTGTGTTTTCTTCTTCACATAAAGGCTGAACATCCTAGACGAACCGTTGGCTTTGATACCACTTGTTGGGGCACAACGGAAGCAATAACATAAGAACATAGAGATCCACTGAAAGCAATAAAGGCAATCGCACACAAAACACAAGATATGCGTGGCTCACTCTAAATTTAGGGTACGTCCTCGGATGGGGAGATATTCCACTATAATCATGTAAAGATATTACAACCGAAGAGAATACTGAACACTGGATCATGTTCACAAACTCTTACCCTTGAATTCTTTTGTGTACTGCTGCAGGGTATTGAGGTGGATACCCGAGCCTTACATTGTGTACCACATCACAAGACTCCCTCTCGCCATCAGTGCTTTCTTTACCAAACCTGTAAACATTCCCTCCTAAAGCTGCCCTCGACGGGCTACATCTCTCTCAACTCATAACTCCCAACAATAACCTAGATATCTATTTGTAGAGTCCCAAACTCTATTCTTGTTGCGCAAGGATTACAATATCTTAGCAGCCAAGATTTGCCTTAAAAAATTCCTTAGAGGCGAAGACTTCCTTTCATGAAATTACCATATAAACGGCTTTATAATGGAAACCTAATAATTGATAGATTTTGAGGCATAAATCCTAACATGATGATATGTGTGTAAGGGTTGACATGTTACTGAATAGTCATTCTTTTGGTTGTCCTTGTTCACTTGTACAAATCACAACTACGTTGTTTAGGTTGAGAATATCCATATTTTGAAGTACTTCCACTAATGATGTTTTGGCTGACTGAAGCAAAGTTGTTCTCCGGCTATTTGTCTTATGTAATTTGTGCTTCATCTCTATGGCTTGCTGCTACTCCTTTTTGTGTGTGCGTGTATCTTGCTACTCCTTCTTATGAATTTGGGTTGTCTGGAGAAGCGTATTGGGAATTTCTCTTTCTGCTCGGGATACGTCCACCCAACCTTTAAATGTAACTTGTATAAATGGGGCATGCTTTTTAGTTAATAATTCCTTGTTTTTGTTTTCATAAAATTCTGTTGAGAACCATTGTTAATCTGTATAGCTTCTTACTAAAACATAAATCATAAAATGAGTGAAAATTTTAGTAGACTTTTATTTGGTCAGTCGAATTCCATATTCTTACTTCATTATTTTTTTTGGACTCATGGTTGGGTGTGTAAATCTATGGAGAATCTCTTGTATTTTTTGGATAGTTTGAGGGTATAGTGGCATTTGGGTTGTGTGCAGTTGTATCTGGAATGCACCCCCTGTTTGAGCGCTTTTCTATAAAATCTTCGATTTATAAAAAAAAAAATTAAAAAAATGTATAAGAAGGACATTTTCTTTGTTAGTCAAAGGGGCTGGAATACTTGAGGTTCAAGTTTAGTGATTCAAACTGATCTACAATGCAGGCAAAAGATGCTGCTAAAGTCCAGAACAAGTGGCTAATAGTAAACTTGCAATCCACCAAGGAATTCAGCTCGCACATGGTATCATTTTCTGAGTTTGCTTGCCTCTTTCCTTTTTTCTGTTGAAAAATTGTGCATTTGGTTTCTGGATCATGTCTCACTTTCAGTAATACGCATGTTGCTTTGTGAAGCTTAACCGTGATACCTGGGCAAATGAAGCTGTTGCTCAAACAATTAGCTCCAATTTCATCTTCTGGCAGGTTTGGATCATGCTTTTGATGTCCATCAGTTTTTGTTTTGGTGCTTTTCTTTTTTACTTTTAATTTGGGATTGTTGAACAGAGTGCTATTTTGTCTATTTGGTATTACCCTGAAGCACACTCATGATTTTCTTATCATGTTCATTATATTGCTCTTATTCATGGTATTGCTAGTTCTAATATGATTTCGAACTGCTGTATGTATAAAGAGAATAAAAGACATTGTATTAGGTGGTATTTTTAAGAACAAATATTATGGTACCTGATGCAACTGTGTTTTGAGATGCCAGTGTGAGATTATTAATTTGTTCCAATTATGGAAATATCAATATAAATTGGGCAATATGGCAATTGTATTAGTCAGTACTTCAATCACTGGTGACTGGTTCCATGTAATGTCATATGTATGCTATTTTGTTTTTTTTTCTTCCATAAATATGTATGCTATTTTGTTCAATTTGTTGTTTCAAAGAATTGAATTGCTTTATATGATATTGTGAAGCTTTTGAATGGTTTCAACTACATTTATTTTAGAAAGTATTTAACTGCAATCAAGCAAATAATTGCGGAGGAGTTAAGAATAAGAAAGTCACATATGTTCCCATACTGGATATGCTTTAGTCCTCTGTCTTCCAAAATATTTGAGTCAAAAATTGAGTTCATTTATTCTATTTGTTAGTTTCAGTGTATCAAATTTGAAAATGCTTATGAAATAGGGATCAAATTTGAAAGTGATTTTGAAAAGAAGGATCAAATTAGATTTCAGAACATTTGTAAAAGAAAATAGAAATACATTGTAAACTTGGGCTCAAAAGAGGGAGTTTTCAAATTCATGTGATAGCTGTTCATCATTGGATGTTACAGGCATTTGTGCCTCCTATATAGTGTGAAGTACCTCCGTATTGCAATTGGGGCCTGTAAGGGGATCTGGAATGTTCAGGATTTGTACTCCAAAAAAATAAAAGAATAAATAAATAAATGAAGTCAAAATCCTTCGTTTTTAATATCTATATTTGGAGCCTGTTGTGTCTTGTGGCAGCTATGATTTATGATAACCATGGGGAAGCACTACTGAATGGTCCTTTTGAGTTTCTCTTTTGACATCTTTTGCCTCTACATCCTTGCTCTGACTGTAATATACGATAAGGCCCCTTTTTGTTTGTTATTAAAATTTTTTCGGGGAGGGTCTATTTCTGTGGCCTCTGATTAATAAATTTTTTGTTTTGCCCCTGGAAAAAAAAAAAAAAAAAGAAAGAAAGAGGTTCTTTATGGCGACTTGTGCAGGTTGTTGGACAATTTCACACACACACCAATTAGGCAATTAGCATCTGCGGTGATGGTGCCTTCCTATATCAGTTTTTTATTTTTGTATTTTTATATCATATGAAGTTTATTGAGGTAAAAAGAGAAAGTAATAAGCCAAGGAGATCTAATCAAAATAAAGAGAAAACCTAACAGAGGAAGTGCTTTGCAGGGTTGAAGCATATACCCTGCTGCCTGCAGAAACTACAAAAAAATTTACTTATGAATGTCATCACTGTTGAACTTCATAGCAACCACTTGTTGCTTGACCAAAAAGGTTGGTTTGTCTACAGAGATTGATTAAATGTATTATGAACCATTTAGAAAAATATCCTTGTTGATGAACTGCTATGATGCTATCTCCAATTTACCATTGCTACAAATTTAGCTGCAACTGGTTTCTGGTGAGTTTTGCTTCTTGCTTTAATGCCATTTATTTGCGGATGGGTTGCATATCCTTGTATCCTTTTGCAAAATTTTATCAGGTAAATTTATTAGTTTTGTCATTTATTATAGCTTTTTATGAGATAAAATACACTTAACCTGTGTGACTCAAGTCACTGGTGGTAGAATATGGGATCTAAGGTTGTAAGGATGGATGTGTCTCGAAAATAAAATTTGATCAATATCTTATGTTCTGAAGGTGCCTCATTCTTTTTGTTCATTATCTATGTTATATCATCTCTTATTGTGTTCACAGGTATATGATGATACAGAGGAGGGCAGGAAGGTCCATACGTATTACAAATTGGATTCGATTCCTGTGATTCTCGTAATTGACCCGGTCACAGGGCAGAAAATGCGGTTATGGCGTGGGATGATTCAGCCAGAGAGTTTGCTGGAGGTATATGTTATATAATTCCTGCAACGAGTTATACAAAATTTGTATTTCCTCAGATATGTATGCAGGAAAGGGGCTAAGAGATTTCATTATATAAAGGTTGTCTTATATATAGCATCTCTGCCAGATTTGTATGCAGGAAAGGGGCTAAGAGATTTCATAATATAAAGGTTGTCTTGTATGTAGTCTCTCTGATTTAAGATGTATCTTTTTATCTGTAGGACCTATTACCATTCATGGATGGCAGTCCCAACGATCATAATTTCAGTCTATCTCATAAACGTCCAAGAGAAAGTTCCCAGACTTCACCTCACAAAATTCAAGGTGTTTCAGGCTTTTATGCTATTTTATGTGCCTAACATCGTGTAACTTTGTTATATGTGTATCCATGATCTTTTACTATAATGATCCAGTATGCTTTAAACTTCAAGATTTCTTCTTCACTGTTCATGCTATTGATAGAGTGGTATATGTTCTCTTCTTTTATCTCAATCGTACTTCCATTTAGTGTTTCCACTTATATGTTCTTACTATGCTGTTTTACTCCTCAAAACATGTTAATACTTGATATGCTATAAGAAAATTTGGTTATTCTCGGAAGAGAGAGAGAGAGAGAATCATTAGTATATTGGTGACATAATTTTAGAAATGATATTGTCTAATCTGGAATTTTATAGCTAAATAATAAATAGCAAACTATGAGACTATGACTGCATAAAAAAAAATTGTTGGTAATATTTTTGTTTGTAGAGAATGAAATCTGATGGAAAGATACATAATCTGGAAATTAATCTTAATACCTCCAGGAATGTACAGATTCCCAACATATAAATTTCATTTTTGTTCCTTGTGTAAAGGTTATTCAAGTGTCTGTTATTTAATTACTGTTTTGGCCACTGCATCATACTTTCTGGACAACCTACATCATTTAATTTCATATTCCTTGGTGTCATTGCTTGATGCAATGCTAAAAGTTCTGATTTACAATTCTAAAGACTGGTCACTTTGTTGTAAGTAATACCGATAGTTACATCTGTGTACAATCTTCTCCTCTCAAGCACCCTACATAGACTGAATCCACATTAGGTAATTTCCTTTTTATTATTATTATTATTTTCTTTTAGGTAAGAGAGACATACCCAACTAATATACACCCATTATTGCCCCGGTAGGGACTTCAGCCCTTAACCTCCCATGCGAAAAGTGGAGGAGATACTGCTAAAGCTAAAGACTCGGTGGTTTTCCTTTTGCGGTTTCATATTACTTCTTTCTCTGGATATTTGTGCATTTTTATTTAATTAATTGAAGATGTCATACACCATTTTTTTAAACCTTTAGTTCTTCCTCTGATTGAGTGTTTAGCTCTTCTAATTATTCATTATTTCCTTTTGAATGCCCTAGGAATTTGATTCACTACAAAGTATTCCCCTAAGGTTGGACTTATGACAACATGCTATAATTTCTGAAATAATCTCTTAAAGCCTCAACGTATAAGTAGGTGATTTCCATATATGGTACAGGTTCTCTGTAATATGTCCTAATAAATATCTATTACAACTTTGATTGACTTAAGTTATATCACGGTATTTTCATCTTGCTGGTCAAGACATACTGAAATCTAGTCCGGATTATATGGTCTGTATATAATATTCTTCTTGCATTAGGGTTTCCTCCTCCTGTTGAGTTTTCTCTATGTTTTTCCATTGTCCCCTTCGGTACGTCACTGTGACTCAAAGTTGTGTATTAACTGACTTCAGAGGCTCCAGTGGCTGCAGATGCAAAAAATGAAGAAGATGAAGAAATGCTATTAGCATTGGCTGCTTCAATGGAAGGCATGAAACATGCTACTGGAGTTACCTCGGAAGACGTAACAAATATTGATGAGGACAAAGAAATGTGCTCAGTAAAGAAGCCTGTGTATCCACCTCTTCCTGAAGAACCTAAGGGTGATAGGAACCTCCTTTGCAGGGTGGGAGTCCGTCTTCCAGATGGACGCAGGCTACAGAGGAACTTCTTCCGCACTGATCCGATACAGGTAAAGTTTTCTTTCTAGCTTTCTTAATTTGATCTCTTCATTTTTTTACTTCTCTTTTATATATTTTATCTTTATTTATTTATTTTTTCATCCTCCCATATAGATTTGGTGGACCTACAGAGATATCAAATTATGTTTGTAATACGAGGAACATAGTACTTGGATTCACCTGGGTTCACGTGAACCAATATGAAGAAAACAAATAATTAAAATATCTTGACAAATGAGTATTTGTTCATTAAGCCATTGTCACACTTCAAGGCTGCAGTAGAGAAAAATGTACATTGAGAATTATAGTCAATGAGTCCTTAATAGGTTGGCTTCTATATATCTATATAATCACTAGACATGTAAGAAAGTAGATTAATACTATGTACCTCTTATAAACATTATTAATATTTCCATAAACAGCTACCTTGATGACGACATTCCAAATTGATAACAAGACTAGAAATAGGAAAATTTATCATGCACAAAATGGTAGTCAACCTCATTGTTTGGTGCATTCCCAAGTAATAAACGGCTAGGTTAGCAGCCACATTCTAGTTGCCAGATTTCACCATCCTCTACCAATAATAACCTCACCCACAATATGTCACATATTGCGTGAGCCATTGTCATGGTTGCAAAAGGGGAACACATCCCTCAGAAAATACACAAGGCCTAATAGGGCCTTTAAACTCTCTCAGAGTCCAAAAAAATTACGTACCTCCTCTATGGATTTACAATTTCTTCCTAGAACCCAACAAAAAAGTGTGCTAATAATGGCGAACTTCAACGCCCCAATAGGATTCTCCTTTCCTTCTAAGGATCTCCTATTTTGTTTCAAGCCATAAACACCCCCAGATGCACAAACGTGTACAGCCCCTCCAAGGCTCAATCAAGTTTCTAGATGAACAAGGCATAACCCACTGAATCCTGAACAAACCAACAACAAAACCCAGCAATTGCAAGCCACTGGGAAATGCAAAAGAAGGTGGTCAACTGTTTCCTCGTTTCTCTTGCACATGTAGCACCAATTGACTACAACTTGTCCCCTCCTCCTCAACACTGCTTTCCATTCATAGAAAGCCACATTGATAGGTGCCTTGGAGCGCCATATAGCATTCCACGGGAAGGGATCCCCTGGGTCATCGTAATACACATGTAAAGTGACCGAACATCAAAGCGACCCTGGGAACATGGAACCGACACCCAAGAGTCATAGACACTAGCGACAATCTCCTCGCAGTACAACTCCTCCAAAAAAACAACGGCATCCTCAACCTACCAATCCTGAAAATGCCTTGAAAATGCAGATTCCATAACGTTCTCCCGCTATCGAGACGATAGCATGTCTATCTGTAGCAATCCTGAAGAGCCTGGGAAAAGTGAGCTCAAGAGGATGATTGCCACACCAAATATCCTCCCAAAAATGGATCCCGTAATAATATCGATGCAAGATGCTCTTGCCTTGATAAACCTAATGTGGAAAGATCTAGGCCGAATTGTTAGGAAATTAGTTAGGGAGATTTTTAGGAATTATCTATAGTTAGATAGTTGAACTTTTTTATATTTTAAATAAGGAGTTCCTATATTATAGGAATTATGATCTGTATATATCTTTTCCTTAGATATAATTTGTTATACACTTCTATATATATAGGCCTGTAAACTAACATATTATATTTATTAAGAAAAAAAGGGAATATCAGAATTTTATTCTCTTTCACCTTTGTGTTCAGAGCCGCCCACACTAGGACGGTAAATTACTCCATTGTTCTGCTGATTATCCAATAAAATCAGCAAACATTCATCGTTAATTCTGGCCGTTTATACCAGAATTATAGAAGAATTATTCGTTGTCTTTGGACGACTTCTTTGGTTAAATCCGTGATGTCTGGAATCTCCATTGAGGAAGTTTCTGCCGATTCTTCAAATGCTCGGAAATCCTAGATCACTTCATCTGGTTCAGGTGACAACCCAATCCTCCAAATTACCACTCATCGGCTGAATGGACAGAATTTTCTACGGTGGTCTCAATTCATAAAGTTGTTCGTCTGAGGGCGGGGGAAGATTGGTTATTTAACTGGTGCAAAGCTGGCTCCAAAGGAAGATGATCCATCATATGCCGTCTGGGATGCATAAAATTCCATGATTATGTCATGGACTGATGGCTCGTGAACTCCATGGAGTCGGAGATAGGCCAGACATATATGTATCTCTCCACTGCCAAAGAATTATGGGACACAGTGAGTGAGTCATACTCAGACTGGGGCAATTCTGCACAAGTCTGAAATTAAAACAAGGATCCGAGAAACAAGACAAGGAGATCAGACTGTTACAAAGGATTACAACATATTATAAGGTTTGTGGCAAGAATTTGACCTCTTTTATGATTTTGAATAGAAGTGTGCAGTTGATAGTACCCAATTCAAGAAAACAGTTGAGATGGACCGTGGATTTGAATTTTTGGCTGGACTTAATATTGAGTTAGACAAAGTGAGAGGACGTATTCTAGGCAAAGAGCCACTGCCTACCACTAGAGAAGTCTTCTCTGAAGTTAGGATGGAAGAAAGCCGCAGGTTGGTGATGATGGGAAAGAAATCCTCTAGCACTCATAATGAGAACTCTGCACTCAATGTAACAGCCACTGAAACGGCAACAGCTGCAGTCAATCCAAAACCAACAAATCACCCACAACGGAAGATTGAAGAGAAAGCCAAGATCTGGTGTGATTTCTGTACCAAACCAAGGCACACGCGAGAAACATGCAGGAAACTGTTGAAACCGAGACATCTCCATTCAGTAAGGAGTAGCTTGATCATCTCTCCAAACTGCTGAACCAAACTTAGGTTTCAAGTGTCTCCTCAGGTTCTCTTGCCCAAAAAGGTTGCTCTTTAAGTGCTCTCACTAGTTCTTTAAATCCGGCACCTTGGATCATTCATTCTGGTGCATCTGATCATATGACTAGTTTATCATATTTGTCTCCAGTTGCAGGAGAAGGTTCTATAGTTGTCTCAGAAAACCTTGTTTAAAATATGTCCTCCATGTGCCTAACCTTTCATGTAATCTTTTATCAGTTAGTAAACTCACCGAGGATTCTAATTGTGTTGTCAAATTTCTTGATTCTCACTGTGAATTTTAGGACCTATATTCGGGGAAGATGATTGGCAGTGCTAAGATGGTTGATGGACTCTATTATTTCGATAATGAAATCTTCAAGAGTGGACAAACTCAAGCTTCGAGTAGTAGTGATATTTCTATTTCTGTTAAAAGTCAAATAATGTTATGGCACTATAGGTTAGGCCATCCCTGTTCAAAAATTTAAATCCTTTGTTATTTCATTGCGAATCTTGTCAATTATCAAAGCATCATCGTGTTTCTTATCCTTCTCATTTATATTAAGCATTCAAACCATTTTATTTGACTCATAGTGATGTGTGGGGGCCTTCTTGAGTTACTAATGTGACTTGAACTAGTTGGTTCATCACTTTCATTGATGACCATACTAGAGTGTGTTGGGTATATCTTTGAGAGAAAAATCTGCGGTTACGAGAGTGTTTAAAGAGTTCTATGCAATGATTGAAAACTAGTTTCAAACCCAGATTCAAGTATTTAGAACCAACAATGAAAAAGAATTTTTCAACTCTATTCTTGGTGAAGCTGTTCTTACAGCTTCATACTTGATCAACAGAATGCCAACTAAGGTATTGAAATTTGAGATGTCTAGAAACAGCTTACTGTCAATTTTTTCCCATATTAGGATCTTCACCTCATTACCTCTTAAAGTGTTTGGATGCACTGCTTTTGTACATGTTCATACACAGGACCGTTCAAAACTTGATCTTAGGGCTGAAAAGTGCGTGTTTGTTGGGTACTCTCCTAAACATAAAGGGTATAAATGTTATAACCTCACCTCTAGGAAATTCTTTGTGAGTATGGATGTGACTTTTTTTGAGACTCAACCCTATTTCACCAAAAATACTCTTCAGGGGGGGAGTAATGAGAGGGAAGACCATTTTTGGGAAGTTTTAGGCACTTTACCATTGCCGAGTGTTTCACTAAACTCTACCTTACCTACTGAATCTACTGAACCCACTATTTCAACAACTCCAAAGCCTATTGAGTCAAACATTATAGACTACACTTCAGGGGGAGAACCACTTCAAATCCAACCTCAATCTGAGCTCCGTGTTTGCACTCGAAGAAGGAAGGATCAAAATAAAGAGCATCAACCTACTACCTGCCAAGAAAATTGTTCTGATAAAGGCAACTTGAATGAAATAGGTATTTTCGTCTCTAATCCATCTTTAAGTCTTGAAACCAGTAATGAAGAGAGCCTTTCTCATGACCTTGACATTGCACTCAGGAAGGGTACTTGCTCTTGTACCATGCATCCTATTGCTAAATATGTGTCCTACCATAGATTGTCTCCAAATTATAGAGCTTTTTACCACTAATCTCTCTAGTGTTTCAATTCCTAGAACTATATAGGAGGCTTTAAATCATACCGAGTGGAAGGCAGCAGTTATGGAAGAGATGAGGGCTCTTGTTAAGAACAAAACTTGGGAGATTGTTGAGTTGCCAAGGGAAAAGAAGACCGTAGTCTGCAAATGGTGTTCACGGTCAAATGTAAGGCTGATGGTAATGTTGAGAGATACAAGGCGAGACTCGTAGCTAAAGGCTTCACCCAAACATATGGAATAGATTACCAGGAAAACTTTTCCCTGGTGGCAAAGGTAAATTCCATTCGGGTGGTGTTGTCTCTTACTGCAAGCTTGAGTTGGCCATTGCAACAGTTAGATGTAAAGAATGTGTTCTTAAATGGTGAGCTAGAGGAAGAAGTGTTTATGAATCTACCACCTGGAGCTGTAAAGGTGTGTAAATTGAAGAAATCGCTATATGGTTTGAAACAATCACCCAGAGCGTGGTTTGATCGATTCACTAAAGCTATCAAGGGTCGTGGATATTGTCAAAGTCAGGCTGATCACACTCTGTTCTACAAACATTCAAGTGATGGTAAGATAGCCATACTTAATGTTTATGTAGATGACATAATCTTGACCAAAGATAATATAAGAGAATTGGAGGATTTCTTTTCTTGCAAAGGAATTTGAGATAAAAGATCTTGGAGCTTTGAAATACTTCCTAGGAATGGAATTTGCTAGATCCAAGAGAGGGATATTTGTCTCTCAAAGGAAATATGTGTTGGATTTACTTATAGAGACAAGTTTACTTGGCTGCAAACTGGTGGAAACACCTATGGAGCCCAATTTAAAGTTGCGGGCAGCAAGTGCAGAAAAAGTGGTGAACCAAGAGCAATTCCCAGGGTGGCTCAGTATAATTTGAGGCCTTAGGCGAAAAAATATATAAAAGTGGCCTTTTAATATCTAATGTATAGTTGATCCAACTAATCTTTCTTGTCACGTAATTGATCTTAGATTTATTCAACTTATACTTAATGAAAAAGGAGGAAAAATATGTAAGAAATAAGAAGGAAAACAAAACAAAGAAGATAAAAGTTAAAATAAGAATATGGAAAGTTTTACAAATTCCGGAGAAAAAAGAAACAAGTTTTTACTAAACCCTCTGTTATCTCTGTTGAAAAGTTGAGGGAGAGAGAGATAAAAAAGAGGTAAGACAAATATATAAATCTTTTGGTTCCTATTAAATCTCTATTGGTTTGGGTCTAATAATTGATACAAATAAAAATTTTAAGGAGGTTATAATATACAGAAATAAAAAAAAAAAAAATTGGGGCCTTTCTATTGGGCAGAGTTTAATAATAAGAAGGAAATAACATTTTTAGGAAGGTTATAATTATAATATAAACAAATAAAAATATTTGAAAGTTATAATATAAGGAAATAAAAATTTTGAGGGCCTTTATATTGGTTGGAGTTTGATAATAGGAATGAAATAAAAAATTTAGGAAGGATATAATATAAAGAAATAAAAAAAAAAAAAAAAAAAAAAAATTGAGGCCTTCCTACTGGCTTTGGCTGGGGCCTTAGGCGACCACCTAAGTCGTCTAAGGTCTAGTCACCCCTAGCAATTCCAAAGGCCGGTTGGAAGACTCATTTACCTTTCACACACTCGGCCAGATATTGCCTTTGCAGTGGGTGTACTGAGTCAATTTATGCACTCACCAGGAGAAGAACACTTTGAGGCAGTCTACCGGATTCTCAAATACCTAAAGGGAACTCCTGGAAGAGGTTTGTTGTTTGAAAACCACGGCCATCTAAGGATTGAAGCCTATACCAATGCTGATTGGGCAGGTAGTGTGACGGATAGGAGGTCTACTTCAGGTTACTATACTTATGTTGGTGGCAACTTGGTTACTTGGAGGAGCAAGAAGCAAACCGTTGTAGCAAGGAGTAGTGCAGAAGCTGAGTTCAGAGCAGTTGCTCATGGAATTTGTGAACTTTTGTGGCTGAAAAGATTACTTGAAGATCTTAAAATCTCAAGTCCAATGCCTATGAAGCTTTATTGTGATAATAAAGCTGCAATCAACATAGCTCACAATCCTGTCCAACATGATAGGACTAAGCATGTGGAAGTTGATTGACATTTTATTAAGGACAAATTATAAGGAGTGATATGCATGCCTACAAGAGAACAGGTAGCAAATATCCTCACTAAAGGATTACCGAAGGGGCAATTTGACAATCTTACATGCAATTTGGGAATGCAAGATATTTTCGAGCCAGCTTGAGGGGGAGTGTGGAATGATCTAGGCCGAATTGTTAGGAAATTAGTTGGGGAGGATTTTTAGAAATTATCTATAGTTAGATAGTTGACTTTTTAAAATTTTAAATAAGTAGTTCCTACATTATAGGAACTATGATCTGTATATAACTTTTCCTTAGATAGAATTTGTTATACACTTCTATAAATATAGGCCTGTAAACTAAAATATTATATTTATTAAGAAAAAAAGGGGAATATCTGAATTTTATTCTTTCACATTTGTGTTCACCTAATAATATCTAAGTTCAGATAATTTGGACACTAAACCTTCCCAAGTACTCCTTTTAAATATCTCAATAATGTTGTTCTGGAGTCTCCATAATTGACTAACTACTATAGTGTGAAAACCAGAGTCTGTCTAGGTTAGAGTTAAGCAAATTAACTTTCCTACAAGACTTTTATATCCAGGATCCTAAAATACTTCATTTTTATCTCTGACAAATTTGGTCTTAGGATCCATTGAGTTATCGACAACTTTACCACTTAACATCTTTGTGATAGATAGTCTTTTAGTTGGGGGATAAAATGATGTCATATACCTTGCTAGAACAATGACTGTCTGAATTGATGTTTATTCATAATCCTTCAAGTACTATTTTCTCATTTAGCTTTTGTTTTGCAGTTGCTGTGGTCATTTTGCTACTCTGTACTTGAGGAAGCTGAGTCGCGTCCATTTCGCTTAACGCAGGCAATCCCAGGGGCTTCAAAGTTTCTCGAATATGATAGCAAATTAACATTTGATGAGTCGGGGCTTGCCAACTCGATGATTTCAGTTACATGGGAATGAAGATGATGTTTCGGTACCTTTTTTGAGTGTGTTGCGATCACTGGAATCTTGCATTGAAGAATTTTGGAGCAACTGCTAGAACATTGTTTCTTTGTTTGTTGCTTTTAAACACAGGGGTCTCTTGGAGACAACTCTGTCTTATACTGCATCTTGTTTATTACATATAGAGTCCTCGTCAGGAGCATGGAAATCACACTATTATCGTATTTATCGTTATATTGTACAATTTCAAGTTTGTTCCATTTCTTGCCTTTCAATTATGTCTGATACTATTGCTTTTACAACTTTAGGTTCAATTTCATGTAAATCCTCTGGTGCTTGTAGCCCGCGTACTTGCATGTTGTGGTTTTTGAACTTTATATACCAACCGTCATGTTTGTGGTTCAAGTTGAAATAAAATGTATATTATCTGCCAGTCGAAGTATTTTTGAAACAAAGGTAGAATCCAGATTAGAAAAAAAGGAAAAATAGAAAGATGTGGAAATTAGGAAATGTTGTCTGAAGGCAGTGGTTGATTAATAGGAGTTCTTCATTACCTTGAATTTACTTGATATAAGTCAGGATCTATATCTCTGTGGGTTAGCTGAAGCTGTGCAGAAGTTTTTGGATCTATATCTCAGGGCACTCAAAATTGGAGATACAGAATTGAAAGTACGTACTTCATGTGTTGGATCCTCGAAGTTAATCTTCTTGTTTTTTCTTTTTGTGTACTGTACACGAAGCATATTCCTAAAATTTATTCATAAAAACTGAATTATATTCTACAACCCAATCGTACATGGAGAATTAAAAGGACTCATCAACACCAAAAGAGAGAGACTATTGCAATAACGCACGCAAAAATACATGCATGCTTCTACCAAACTCGTGGACGAGCTGTTGCAGGAAGGTTGCCACCACCCTCAACACCTGGGTTGGGGGACAAGCGTATCATCCCGGCCGGCCTGGAATGTAACCACCAGATCCAGTGCTGCCGATGCCGGCCACATGGATATGGATACAGATATAGAAGGCATAAAATGCTTCTATTTTTACAGAAATTTTTCAGCAAGTTTTCTTGCACCTTTTCGGTTTTCCTGTATCTTATCTGCAACATAAACATAATTGAACTCACAAAATATGAGAATTTCTTTATATTTTGCGTGAAGTGGGTCGGAGCATCCAACAATACACTCAGCTACGCACAATACAGCTGTCGAATGCTCTATATATATATATATATATATATATATATTGCGTGAAGTGGTCCATCCTCTCTCACTAAATATCATCTTTTCCGTACCTTAATTTTCTTCGAGAGATCACCTTCTGACTATGAAAAGCTCTAGAAAGATGAATAGGATGTATAAATAGAACTTGCGTGAAGTGGTCCATACTCACTAACTATCATCTTCTAAGTATCTGGTGAATAATGTTGAGCCAGCCTAACATTTTTTTTTAATCTCCACGTGTAATGTCCCTAATATATATATATATATATATTGAGTTGTTGACATGTCTTTCAATTTATTATTCATATTCACCAACTTATAGTAGTGGGAGTGGATGGAAGAGTAGTTTGCAACGCCTAAATAAACTTGCAAAGTTGAGTGGTGAGTGCATCCGAGAACTAGAATTAGAAGCTACATGTCTAGAACCGGTACGAGGCTGTGACCGTGAAGTACCATCAATAGCCTAATGAAGATAATAATCTGGTTTCCCATATTTTGCCCCATGGCCGGCACTATATATGATTGATATATCCAAAATTGAATATTGCAAAAATTAAAAGCAAAAACTATGAAATAAAGTTATATGTTAGGCCAAAATGCATGCATGTTGTCAATTAAGTTTAGTGCTACTTTCAATTGAAAGGTAATTAATGAGTGAAGTAATTATAAGGTTTGTTCATGCCAAAGATGTGTTAGTTACAGTACTTGTTGGAAAAAAAAACCACAAAATTAATGAACAAAAAAACATCTACAATGACTCCGACCACTCATTAAATAGGTAGGCACAGGCTAATCTAAGAAATATGAATAATGCCATACGCAATGTAATTGAATCAACATCCTAATAAATAAGAAAATAACATGTGAATTGATACATCACCAATGGCATATTTAGGGGAGGGCTGGGCTCGGCTGGGCTCCAGCCCACCCAAAAAAAAAAAAAAAAAAACAAATTATTACTATGGATAATTTTAACCAAGCCTAAAAAAATAATAATAATAATAATAATAAATAAAATATATTTTATTATTAGTATTACCCACCCACACAAGCCCAAATCAGTTAAGCCACAATACTAAAATAAAGGCCCAAGCCAAACAAGCCCTAATAAAAAAAAATTGCTTAAGAAATTATATTATTAAGAGAAGTGATAGATCTTCCGACTTCAATTGCCGATTACTCCTCTGAATATAACGTGATTGGGAATGAGTGGAAGAGAAATAGATGTTTACGGGAATTTTTTTAAGAGTTCCAATAGGATACAACCACGTTATATTCGTAAGAAGAGTCGACAATTAACGTTGGAAGACCTATCATTTTTCTATTATTAAATTTATGTTCCATTAACAATTTCTAGATCCGCCCTTATACATCACCCCCGCCCTCCCTTGTGTTTTTTTCCCTTTGTAAGAATGCAAAAAGTTATTACCAAAAGTCGAGAATATATGATACAATAAAGCCCACGACACGATACACCTGAAAAATGAAAATCTTTAATTCATGCCGACAAATACTCTCAAAAGTATCTAAAAATTAAGTGAGATTAGATAAGAATATGAAAGTAATGACAACCAAAACACAAATATACAATCACAAGGTAAAGAGTGTTCTAAGGGATCCCATAGCACTATTGTCAACAAGTAATAAAAAAATAAAATGAGAGATGACTGTCAAACAAACCCTACTGGCTGGGGCTGGTTTGGCATGAATCAGCCCAGACCCAAATGCAAGGGCCACCACAGGTAAGGATAAACCCGCCAAAAAGAGTCCAGTGAAAGTAGGAATAGCCTTGTGCGATAATACAAAGCAGCAACAAAAGAGAATGTTAAACATTAAACCCAAACAGAATATATTTTATTAAAAAGGAAATATGTAAGCACTTAATTCATATTCATATTAAGAGTAAATATACATACATATATATATACACACACACACACACACAGTAGTTAAAAAAGAATGTGCAAATGTGCAATGTATTTGATTAAAAATCTTTACTTATCTAAAAAGAGTAATATTTATATTGTAAGTGCTTGACTTTGATAAGAATATATATATATATATATATATATATACACACTTTCTTTTTCTTTTCTTTTTTTGGTGAAAGGCAAATCAAATTAGATATATTAATTCCAAAAAAAAAAAAAAAGATATATTGAATTAGGTGGGAACATACAAACATATCAAGAACTAAACAGAGGCAAACAAGCCCAAAGGCTCTACATGGCCAAGCCCAGACAGATTAAAAGAAAGACAACACATCAAAGCCACATAATATTAGGCCCAATCCAAGACCTATCAAACTTAACTCTCAAATTCAAAAAAAGATTAGGACTGTTGCTCTAGGGCATAATCCTGTCCAGTGAGCTAGATATGGATCCAGAACAATCAGGAAAATATAGTAAATAGGGATAATTTTATTGATACCCTCTCAGGCTTGGCCAAATATCATTCTCAAATATCTTTCGAAAATAACTAGGTCAATTTTTCACTTTTCCGTCACAATTTCCGTTAAAAATATGTAAAAAGACAATTTTGCCTCTAATTTTTTAATCTCATTTATCACCAAATATCAAATTACTTTTATGACCATTATACTCCTCATCTCCACCTCCACAACTACCATGTCATCTCCACCTCCACCTCCACAACCACCGTTGTCAAACTAAGCTCAGGCCTCAGGTCCAACCAACAGGCCTCGGGCCCAAGAATCTATACCATTTTAGATATTAGTAATTATTACATGCATGTAAATCCCTCTTTCAACTCATGCATTACAAAATTTAGAAGACGTGTTATGCCTAGTATCTTTTTCCTGTTCAAATTAAAAGGCTGAGAAATTAGAAAACTGTAGACGGTAGAAAAAAAAATAATACTGAAGAGTCGACAATATTATCAAGTTCACCAACAGAATATACTGTCCAATTCAAAGTAGTTTCTATTCAAATATTGGTAACTTTATCTATTACTATTAGCACACAAATATAACAACTAATAAATTGAAGCCCCTGGAAATATGATCTATGGGTACGACTGGAACTAAGAAGTACCCCAGATAGCCATAGCCATAGGTAACATGAAAAAAATAAAATAAGAATTAATTTTGGTATCAAATCAAAAACACATTCACACGCACATCTTGATTGAACCTAATTTTTTTTTTTTCACTGATTGAATCACCTAATTTCACAAAACACAGTCAACATCTCCGGTGGCCGTGATGGCATCTTCCTGTTTTAATTTTGGTGGTTGGGTTATAGAATCGGCAGCATCTTTGGTGGCGGTGATGGCATCTTCCTGTTATAGAATCGGTGGTGGTGGTGGTGATGGTGGTGGAGAGAGAGGAACGGTGGTGGTGGGGAGACAGAGAGGAGTATATGTCTGTGTAATATATATATAATTTGTAACTTTACAAAAGTTTAGGGATATTTTAGTCTTTTAATCCAATTGTTTAGGCTAAAAAGTTATTTTGACAAAGTCAAAGGGTATTTTAGTCATATTTTATATATTGTCAGAATTGTTTAACTAACAGGTGGGGTGTGAGTGAAAAACGGAATAAAAGTTTGTAGCATGAGTGATAGTTATTTTCGAAAGATATTTGAGGGTGATATTTGGCCAAACTTGAGGGGGTGTCAGTGAAATTAACCCTAATAAATAAAAGTCAAAATACAGAGAACACCCCTATATCACACCTCTAAAAAACACTCTTAAAGTTTCAATTTGGTGCAAATAGGTCCATCTGACAAATTTAAACCATAAGTTAATTAAATTACTCTTACTCAATAATTTTATAAAATATATAAAAATAAATAATTTTATAAAATGACCGAAAATAACACTATTGGTGGATGCCCCTCTCATGCAAAAAATGCCCCTACAGTTTAAATCTGGTGCAAATAGACCCCTCTAACAAATTTAAACCCTAAATTGACTAAATTACCCTTACTGAACCATTTTATAAAATATATAAAAATAAATAATTTTATAAAATGACCGAAATGACACTATTGGAGAACACCAGCAATGGA